TTTATTTATTTATTTATTTATTTATTTATTTATTTATAGCTCCCACAAATAAGTGAGAACATGTGGTATTTCTCTTTCTGTACCTGACTTATTTCACTTAATATATTTTTTTCTAAGTCCATACATGTTGCCGCGAATGGTAGTATTTTATTCTTTTTTATAGCAGAATAGAATTACATTGTGTAGATATACCACAGTTTCCTTATCCACTCATCTGATGATTGACATTTGGGCTGGTTCCAACTCTTGGCTATTGTAAATAGTGCTGCAATAAACATTGGAGTACAGGTGTCCCTTCGACATGATGATTTCCATTCCTCTGGGTGTTTTCCCAACAGTGGAATAGCTGGGTCATATGGTAGATATATCTGTAATCGTTTGAGGAACTTCCAAACTATTTTCCATAAAGGCTGCACCATTTTGCAGTCCCATCAACAGTGTAGGAGGATTCCCCTTTCTCACTTTTTGAAAATTATTACTTATAGGGGGATTTTGTTGTTCACACGAATATATGGGGGGGCGGGCAGTTTGGTTTTATAGAGTTCTTAGCAATAACGAGATAAAATTTCCATTCTTTTCCTCATCTGCTCCATAGATATAAAAAATATGCTGGCCATAAAAGAAATACAATTTTTCTAGCACATTTTCCTTTTCAAAGTATCTCCTAATTATCTTTTGGCAAAAATAAGTTTATAGAGTGTTGCAGCACTACACACACAGAGAATGGGCTTCTTCCAGGGCCATCACAAGCAGTTCTAGGCAATGGCAACTCTGCATATTCGAACTGCTTGCTTACCCAATAAAAGGAATATATTTTGTGCAGTTAAATAAAACCAAGTAGTACATGATTGGAATATTAATACATAATCCCCTACTGAAGAGTGATTTGTGTATTTCAATCACCGATGAAGGCAGAAATAAGCCTGCTTTCTATGACGTGGGTCCTCAAGGATGTCAGATTCACACACACCTGAACATGCCTTTCCATATCTACATGAGGTCTTATGATAGTGCTTTAAAAGCTGAATTAAAATTATGGTAAATAACATTTCATCATCTGAAGTAAAATTCATTATTCAGATATCACAATTGTCATGACTTCCTCTACAAGGACTTCTCCTGATTCCTTCTAAAATCTAGGTTACTTTCTCCTCACATGTGAAACAAAATCTATTGCCTTTATCTCACTGTATCCTAAATAACATTAAATTACATTTTCTTAATATTTTTACATCATCACTATTCTGTGAACTTTTGAAATCATGCAATATGACTTTGTTACTGTTGCACATCCAAAGGAAAAACTGCCTCTTGGTATTGCAGAAAGAGACAACAAAGGTGTGAAAAGGGAAGGAAGAAAAAAAGAGAAATTAGGGATGGAAGGAAAAAAAGCAAAAAGAAAAGAGGAAGAGAAAAAGAAAGGGAGAGATGGAAGGATGACAGGAATGTATAAGACACATGTGTACTTTTCACCCAAGCTTATCTCATGATTGCTCTTGTTTTGGGAATTTCTTAGAAGCATATCATTGTAATGTAAAAATATCATCAAAATAGTCACTTAGTAAAACGAGTTTCCATCTTAAATAGGTAAATGTATATTTTTCCACTGACATATTATTTGTTGGATTGTTGCTGGGCGTTGGTCTTCAGAATTAAAATCTGAGCAAACCGCTTGCGGAACACTTCGGTCTTCATACCATAGACAATTGGGTTAAGAGCAGGGGGCACAAGCAAGTAGATGGTCGACAAGAAGATGTGAGCATAGGGTGATACATGACCGAAACGGTGGCTGAAGAAGGAAAAGAAGGCAAGAATGTAAAACTCCAGGAAGACAACAATATGAGCTGTACAAGTGTTGAATGCTTTGAGTCGTGCCTCTTTCTGGGGAAGACGAAAAACAGCATGAAAAATCAGAATGTAGGAGATGAAGATGAAGATCATATCAAAACCTAGAATTGCAAAAGCCACAAAGAGCCCATATGATTTGTTAATGTGCACATCTTCTGCAGCCAACTTGACTACAGCCATGTGCTCACAGTACGAATGCACAATAACCACGGAGAGAAAAAGTTGCAGTCGTTTGAGTAGAATAGGTAAAACCCCAACAAGCACTGTTGCCCGGCATGCCACAATCAGCACCACCCAAACTAGAAAGAAAGGTGTGAGGATGGATGTGTGTCTCAAAGGATCACAGATGGCAATGTAGCGGTCAAAGGCCATGGCCAACAGGGTACCAGATTCCACACCTTGCAAGGCATGGATGAAGAAGAGTTGGGTGAGGCAAGCATCAAAAGCCATGGAGGAAGCACCAAACCAGAAGATGGCCAACATCTTTGGAGCAATAGCTACACAGAGACCTAGGTCAGTGGCTGCCAGCACTGCCAAAAAGATGTACATGGGTTGGTGTAGACTGCGTTCTGTACTGATAATAATTAACAAGAAGATGTTCCCCAACAGAGCCACCAGGCACACACCAAGGAAGGGAAACCCAATCCAAAACTGCACATGCTCTAGTCCAGGAATTCCAATCAGGGTCACTGTCTGTGGATTCAGATACGACATGTTGCTGGATCCCATGAGGCTGGTAAATCCCGTAGTCACCACTGATTCTGATACCTATTCAGAGAAAAATTAGGGATGGTAAGGAAAAGTGGGACTCTCCTCATATTTTCTCTCAGAATTTGAAAAGCATGGATGGAAATATAATCATGTGGCTTTGAATTTTGGGGTATCAATTTAGGTCAGTATCAGAATAGAGCTCTGAGATCTTTTGAATATCTTCTCCCAAAGCCAATGTAAGTATTTGTGAATGAGGAACATGATCCAGTATTTATCACATAGAAATCATAGAAATGGAAACTGATTCTATAAGCATTGATTCTGCTAGTCTTCAGAGTCTTCTCAGATGGTGTCACAGACGCCAACATTACTTTTTTTGTCCCTATCTATCTCCAAACTACAGACACATTTCAGAATTGTGGAATATACCTGTGACACTTGAAGTCATAGTACAGAGCCCTGTCCAATTAGCTCAAAGCTCGGACTCATCAGATGGTGGCAGTCTCTCCCAGTACTTCTAATCTCTCTGGTTTAGGGAATAAAATACTTCTACTCACATTTTAGGAACTTACCCTCAGATGGGCAAGTGAGGAGGTATGCTGTTTCACATAGTTGAATTACTTCTGTGCAGGCCAATTATCCAGGTTCCTGGAAGCAATATGTAGGAGTTATTCTTTTATCAATAGTGGCTGAGCATGTTTGATTCACTGAATTAATTCTGGTCCATGAGTCTTCAAAGTGGTCGTGTAAGCAGAATGGCATAGAAGCTGATGTAAGTACTCACAGATCTTAAAGACGGAAAGTTGTGAAGACAGATAAGAGGTCAATGGAATGAAAAGGGACCATAAATTTGCATAGGATGCAGGCCACAAAATCTGGCCTATTGTATAACTCCTGTACCTTAAAGATTCTGATGATATTAATTTGTCTGGAAATGGAAAAGGGCAGTCCACTTCTGTTTACAACAGAGGTCAACCTAATTTAGTTGTCTTTTTTCATTTTACTATTACCAGTTGGAGGTGAAAATAATTTCTAACACCTTTGAGTATATGGACCCGATTCACACCCACGCTGGACTTCTGATCTTTTTTATAACTTGCCTTCTCTCTTTCTTTGCCAAACCACTAACTGAAGCTTAAAGCAACCTTATATAAATTCTCATTTTTTATTTTTTTATTAGCCATTCCAAAAGCTTAGCAATATACAAAAGTTTTATCACATCTTGCTTATGATTTTGTCACAGCCAAATACGTAGACTAAATAAGATTCTATATATTTTTCTTTGAAAGGAAAATAGAGAGGTTACTTCTGTAAAATTATAGAGGAAATAGAATGTTTCACAGATAGAAGGAATACACATGTGTATATAACTAGGAATGTCCCCAACATAATAAAATATAAAATGTTTTNAGGAATACACATGTGTATATAACTAGGAATGTCCCCAACATAATAAAATATAAAATGTTTTAATAGTTGATGGAGACTAAGAGAACTTGTTATATGAACTTCAGCAGCCATAAAAGTCACGAGGCAGTGGCCAAGGAGACAAAGAGGTAGGGATCAAAACAAGTAGAAAATTTGTGAGAAGACATTCCTTTTGATGTCCATATACAATGAGGTTAGGTGGAGAATGCGGTGGATTCCCTGAAGGTGACTGCTGATAAATATGAGCATGTTTTGGTACAGTAGCATGAGCTGTAAAAGGCAGACCCTTAAAAGGCCAAAAAAGACAATACATTCTAGATAATTATTTATAAATTGCCTGAAAATCTAAGAATAAATTTAATAATTAGCTCTAGTCCTACCATAATATATGATGATGCACTAACCACATTCATTTTCTTCTACATAGTATAGTATGTAAAACCATGGGGAATTAAGTTAGAAATATAAAGTATTATGTAAAGCTAGCTCCAATGTTTACCTTACTACAAATGGGGGAGAGGAGATAATATTTAACTCAAGTCATTAGATTATTGGGAGGACTAAATAAGATTGTATTTGAAAGTCTCAGCACAAAGTATGCAAAAGAGTGAGT